CAAATGAATTATGCCAGGGAAAAAGAAAACAGTAGTGTGAAAGCATGCCAGATCTCACAGCTGAATACCCAGCTGGGGAAGTGCCCAGCTCCAAACAAGGCAGAAAAGAAGTATATTTAATGTAAAAGAATCCTAGCATGAAATAGGCTCTGTGCTTCCCCGGCCACGGCTGATTTACTGTGCAAGGCTGTCGTTTGACAGCCTGTTTGCTGATTCTCCTGCTTCAAAGCCATCGTGGCTCTGTTTACAGCTCAGCCTTGCAGGAGGCACCGGGGGCCCCAAGGTCCCACCCAAACCTGTCTGTGCTTCTGGGATTTGTAAAACACGGCCGGACACCCCGGGGACATTCGAGGTGCAGAGGACGGGGCTCTGAGCAGCCTGAGGCAGTGGAAATGGGGAATACATGGGTTGAAAAGGTCCCTTCCAGCCCAGAGCTGGGTGGCAGAGCAGCACAGGTGAGCTCTGGGGCTCCTTCAGGGTGGGTGAGCAGTGCTGAACTGAACCCCAAAGCGAAGTGCAGGCACCAGGCACCCAGCCCTGGCCAGCTGCTCGTTCCCTGCTCCTTCACCACGAGAGGAACGGGCAGGGCTTGCTCCTGTGTGCCTTGCATCCCTGGCAGGGACACAGCCATGGTCTCACTGGGGGCTCAAGGCGGCATTAGCACGACTGCAGCTGTGGAATGGAGGGATAGAGCTGTCACTGCAGTGTTCACAGCCCGGCAGTGCCACTGAAACCCTGGAGCTGAATTCTGGCCGTTTTCCTCTCCTTTGTGTGAAGCACAACATTGCAGAGTGAATTACTTGGAGCACAAAGACGCGATCTGGCACCTGGACAGCGACATGCTAATGCCATGCTTTATTCAGCTCTTCCATGCAAAAGGCTTTCAAAATCACGGCCCATTGTACAGTGCATAATGATTTTATTCTGGCCCTATTGTCCCAAAGCAGACGCTTCCAGGCTGGAGCAAAATCTTCTTTTGCCTCTCCTGTGCTGGGCAAAAGGTTGGAGAGATAAAGCAGCTCCCTGAGAGCTGGGAGGAGAAATCCTGAACCAGGGCAGAGCCTTGTGTCTGCCCCAGCTGCAGGAGCTGTTCCAGCTTTCCTGGGTGTGATTCACACCTGGGCAGCAATGGCCCCTGACCCCCTAAACACCGACAGGGAACAGCCTGACGGTGGGATGGGGATCCACTGTCCCCTGTGCTGGCCCTGGGGCTCCCCCAGACCACCAGGGACCCTCTGGGGGCTGCTCCGAGGGGCTGAACCCCCCCAGGCAGCCAGGAGGGCTGCTGAGCAGGAAGGTGCTGTGCCCCCAGTGCTCCTGGGGCACCCCGGAGCTGCTGGCATCCCAGGGCAGAGCTGGGAGCGCTCACCCCAGGAGAGAAGGCTGCAGGGAGAGCTCGGAGCCCTCCCCTGCCCAAAGGAGCCCAGGGCTCCCTGCTGAGGGCAGTCACACCCAGGGTGAAAGGCTGGGACACACAAAGGCTGCTGGGGAGGAGAATGCTGTTCCAGGGTCAGCCCAGAGCTGTCCCCATGGCCAAAGATCCTCCAGCTGCTTTCCTGCAGCTGCCTTTGGCAGGGGGAGGATGCTGCAGGGAGAGGCAGCATCAGCAGAGCTGCCAGGGCTATTTTTAGAGGCAGCCTCTGATGAGCTCCTCAGCACCTTATTTATGGCTGTCTCCAGCTGGGGACCTGAGCAGGGCCCAGACACCTCGGTGGCTGAAAGCAGGAGCAGTGACCTCTGCTTGGTGACACTTCTCTGCTGGCAGGCAGGAAAACAACAGCGCATTATGTTGTCAAGACTAATAGCTGCTAATTAGGGGGAGTGACATACGACCCCTTCTCTAGCCAAAGAACACAGAAGTCACACGGGAAATTTTTAAAAAAATAATAAAGTTGAAGTTCTGCGTGCAGTGTTTTCCAATCTAAACTGAGACCACTTAAAAGTCACTTCCTGATTTTTTTCCCCTCTTCAGGATTTTTTTTGCCTGTTTAGGGATTGGGTTGAAGTTTGTGTTGTGTGTACAGTGAATCAGTCCCGGGGTTCAGAGTGTTCCCTCGGTAGGGAATGGAACTGAGGGACAGCAGGAAAGGGGGACAGACCAAAGCTGTGCACGGGGTGCTCCTGTGGGGGGCTCTGGAGCTCCTGGCAGCGTGCAGGGAGCACTGCAGGGCTGTGGCAGCTCCCCCTGACACTGGCACACCTTCCACGGGGGAGCATCTCACCTGGCACAGCAGGAACAATGTTCAGGCTGGAGGGACCTGAAAGCTCTTCTCGTTCCACCTTCCACCAGGTGAACCTTGCACTGGATTCAGCAGCTGGAAATGGGCTCAGTGTGTTGTGATCCCAGTGGGTTCCTGGCAGAACCATCAGGGAAGGAGGGAATGAGTTAGGCTTAGGGTTAGGGTTAGCTTTTTAGATGACAAGTTGCCTTTTGCTGAATAAATTAGTGGGAAAGTTGAGTTCTCTCATTCCAGTCTGGGGAAAAGAAGCTTTGGGTTTGAAATGCCTCATTAGTAGTAACTGGAGTGCAAGAGCTGGGTTTATCTGGCACTGTACCTGGTATAAATATGCCAGGGGGCCATTAGTGCCTTGTGGTAGCATCAGGACAGAAATAGTCTGTCCAGCAATTAATATTGCAGGAGCTGAGGATGTCAATAGAGCAGCAGAGCAACTGCAGCTCGTTCCAGGCCCTGGCAAAGTCAAAGGGGGCTCTCAGCAGTGCCAGGGATGCACATCGAGCCCTGGCTGGCTCAGCTCTGACAAACAGAGCCGAGACATTCCCAAACCTCAGGGCTGGCATTTCCACCTCGCAGCTCAGCCCAGCGAGGCCACAGGAGCTGTCCCCAGGACGTTCCCATGTCCCAGGGGAGGGATCAGGGAATCCCCCACGGTCACTGCAGCCCAGTGCCACCAGGGGCTGGCCCCGAGCCACCAGCCCTGCACAGCTCCTCAGGGCTCCTCCTCTCACAGGGCTTTGCAAAGGAAGTTCTCATCCCCCCACCAAACCCGTCCTGCTCCAAGGGTTTGATCTTCCCTGGTGGTGTTTTGGAGCACTTCTCTCAAGTCCCCAGTAATGAGGTAACTCTCAGTCTGCATGTGAGAACAAAACTCCCTGAGACAGACTGAGCCAGACACTTATTATTATACTCTCTGCAAATGCACAGAAGGGCTTTTTCTGCCTGCTCCAGGTCACTGAGATCATGTTTGAGGCATATGATTAATTTTCAGCCTTATTGTGTTAAGGGCCAGCAGGAGAAGAGTGAGATTTTTTTTTAGAGCAGTGTTAAATGAGGTAGACGAACTTGTCACTTAGCAAGAGCTTTGAAATGATCTTTGCATAAAGCAGCAGCTAAAAAGTTAATGGACATGAAGAGCCATCTATTGATTTGAGGTATTCTGAGGGGTTTGGTGTGGGTGAAGGCAGGAGAAGATTCTGCTCGGGATGAACCAGCCTTGGCTAATGGTGCCTGAAGCATTTAACATGCAAGGAGTCCTGCTCTTATTCAGTCCCTCACGCCAACAGGTTCTTGAATGGGGACATGAAGTTCAGCTGAGAAAAAAGGGGTTTTGAAATGTTTGTTTTTCCTCTTGGGTGTAAATTATTCTTAGCTCAACTCTATTCCCCTCGAAGCCCTTTGTTGGTCATAGACTGACATCAAATGTAGAAATAAAGCCTCAATTGAGATAAATAATTTCTCTTTTCAACATTTGCTGCACCAAGCACCAGAACATCTCAAAGACAGCCACAGAAGTCCCTAATACCATCTGATAGCAACCAGGGGCCTGTCTAGATTTCAATTTTTGGATTTTCTCCAGAGCAGAGGGGCTCCAGCCCTCAGAGCATCCCCATGGCCTCCTCTGCGCTCGCTCCAGCAGCTCCACAGGCTCTTTATGCAACACAAATTACAGCAGAAGATTGTTGGGTCCAACCCAGTGCAGAGCTTTGTATGAATATTTTTAGCTGGTCTCATATCCCTGAGAATTCACCTTTTACTGAATGCAGACTTTGAACAACCCCCAAATTTCTGACTGTGCAGATGGCAGGGAAACTGCTGGGGTTTGAAATGGAAGTGTAAATCAGTCCTCATTTGCACCTGGATACCGGGGAATGAAAATATATGAAAATATATGAAGCTGCTCCCCAGCAGACGCAGAGCTGGGAGTTTGCTGGAGCTCATCTGCATGGAGAGAGCAGAGCAGCGAGGACGGGAACTTCAACAGCCACAGCTGCTGAGCAGCTCTGCTCTGCCACAGGGGTGCCTTCTGTGCCCAGCTGGGTGCCAGGCAGGCCAGGGCGGCCGTGCCCAGCCCAGGGTGGCAGCAGCAGGGGCAGGGTGGCAGCACACAGGGCAGGGTGGCTGTGCCCAGCCCAGGATGGCCATACCAGGGGCAGGGTGGCCATGCCCAGCCCAGGATGGCAGCAGGATGAGCAGGGTGGCCATGCCCAGCCCAGGGTGGCCATGGCCAGCCCAGGGTGGCAACAGAAGGAGCAGGGTGGCCGTGCCCAGCCCAGGGTGGCAGCAGGAGGAGCAGGATGGCCATGCCCAGCCCAGGGTGGCCATGCCCAGCCCAGGGTGGCCATACCAGGGGCAGGGTGGCCACGGCCAGTCCAAGGTGGCCGTGCCAGGGGCAGGATGGCCATGCCCAGCCCAGGGTGGCCATGCCCAGCCCAGGGTGGCCGTACCAGGGGCAGGTGGCTGTGCCCAGCCCAGGATGGCAGCAGGAGGAGCAGGATGGCTGTGCCCAGCCCAGGGTGGCCATACCAGGGGCAGGGTGGCAGCAGCAGGGGCAGGGTGGCAGCACACAGGGCAGGATGGCTGTGCCCAGCCCAGGGTGGCCATACCAGGGGCAGGGTGGCCGTGGCCAGCCCAGGGCGGCCGTACCAGTGGAGCTGACCCTGGCACGGGGCTCGGAGCACCGGTGCCACCCCGGGGAGCTGGGCAGGCCCTGCCGAGGCCCGGGGTCTCAAGGAGGGGCCTCCTCTGTGCTTGTGCCCGCAGCTACGGGGACATGGTGCCCAAGACCATCGCGGGGAAGATCTTTGGCTCCATCTGCTCGCTGAGCGGGGTGCTGGTCATCGCCCTGCCCGTGCCCGTCATCGTCTCCAACTTCAGCCGCATCTACCACCAGAACCAGCGCGCCGACAAGCGCCGGGCCCAGAAGGTGAGAGAGGGAGGGAGAGAGCAAGTGTCCGTGGGTGACAAATGAGTGACAGAGTGAGTGAGGAGTGAGTGTGAGTGAGCCCTGCCCGTCCCCTCCTGGGCCAAGGGCTGCCATGGGCGCCTCCCACCCTCACGGCCTGTGCAGGCCCCGCTCAGATAATCCCCTCAAACCAGCCCCAAACCAGCCCCAAACCAGTCCCACACCCAGGCCAAATCCTGCCAACGCCCCCAGGGCCCTGGGGAAGGGACAGACAAAGCCCCCAGCCCCAAATCCAGCACAAACACCCAGAGGAAGAGCCCAAATTCACACCCTGCGACAGACGCGGATGGACACCCACTGCCCCAGAACGAGGGAGGGAGGCACTGCCAGTGCCCCCCAGACAAAACACACACCCCAAAACAGAGCTAAACATGCCACAGTGATGCCTGCTTGGCTTTTCTCCAGGACTTGTGGTCTGAAAAACCGTTGTTGTCAAATTCCTGCTGCAGAACCCCCCACATGTGTTTTGATGTTCCAATGGCATCCAACTCTGAGCCATTTCACACCAGGTTAACGTGGAAACCTCACATGCAACTGGATGGATTCTTGTACAAAATTCTCCTGTTATATGTCTTATAATTACACCCAGATAATAACTTACCTGGCCACATTTCTAGCACAAGCAAAATAAACTCATATGATCCCACAAAATTTGAACACTGGCTGACCCAAAGTCCAGCCAGGATAATTTCCACATCCTGCCTTGGAAATAGAATGTGCCCCCATCGAAATGCACCTCAGCCCTCACTCCTGCACACACTGCACCGGGGTATTTTCGGCAGCAGGAGCAGCAGGGCTGTTATTACTCACCTTTCCCACATACTTGTCTGAAGCAAATAGATGGCTGTGTGCACAAAAACCCTGAAATCATCCCCAGGAGCTGTTTATCCTCCTGGCTGCTTCGCTCCTTGTCTCTCTGTAGTTTCAAATACACCCATCCAGCAACATGCACTTATCAGCACACATACCCCTCCAAGGAACACTGGGAACACACAAATGGAAATGTGAAGGGATTACTGAATAGTCCAGATTCTGAACAGTTTTTGCCAGTGGAAGCTCACTGAGTCTCTAAGAGAGTATAACAGATTTACTGTATCTCTATTTCAATCTGCTAAATTACACCACAGCCAGAATCAGGTTTTTACAACAACTGCAAACCAAAGGCCTGAGGTTCTTTTTCTCCCCGTGGAATGCTGTCTGCCAGAAATGCAAGACTCAGGGGACCTGATGGAGAACAGTAGTAGAAAAATGTGTTATTTCTGCTCCAGGCAAGCATCTGGGCCGTGCCTACTTCTTGCATCTCGGGGAGCTGACAGCAGAGAGCTCAGATACAAGACCTACAAAACCACAACATTTGCCAGTCAAAACACAAAAGGGGAGCAGCAGAGAGACAGAATGGTGCAGGAATCAGCTGCAGCCTCAGCACAGCTCTGCTGGCTTGTACCAACCCCTGCCTGAGCTCTGACACGGCTCACGTGAGGCAGGGGAGCAGGTTTGCAGGGAGAGCTCTTGGTTTGATCACACACAGCACGGCAGGGATAAAAGAAGGGTGAAGGTAAGAAGGCAAAGCCCACTCTGTGCCCTGCTCTGCTCTGCAGCAGCTGCCAGTGGGATCCAGAGTGGCTCAGTGCAGCCTTTCAGTGAAGTTCAGTGCTGGCACAGAGAGCTGTAAAGTGAGGCTGCAGCCAGCACGAGGATTTGGGATTTCCCTTTTCCAGGATCCCTTTTCCAGGTGAGGTGTTAGAGGGAAGGACAGGGATGCTCGGGGAGGTTTATGGGGACAATGCCCAAGAGCCATTTCAGAAGTGAAGCCTGTGAAAGAAAGCTCTTGTTCTGCTGCAGCAGCACCTACACAGAGACAGAAACTGCTCCAGAGCCCAGCCCAGGCACAGCCCTGGCTCCCAGCCTGAGCTGGCTGCAGGTCTGTGCTCCTGGACAGGCAGCCCCTCTCTCCAGCAGCAAACCAAGGTTCCTTCCTCTAATTCCGCTTTCCTTTGGCCTGTGATCCACTTGGCAACAGGGAAAAGTCCCCCCACCTTTGATGCCAATGTGATTGATTGCAGCTTCTATAAAGGTTTGCTGTATTGACACACACAGTGTATAATTTCCCCCCATTTGAATTTCTAATTCCCTTGATATTGGTGGAATTTCTCAGTTAAGAAACTTTTCTCGAGTCAGAAGTGTGAGTAATTTTCACATGATCAGCACTGCATGAATACTAAAAGGCAGGAAAGAGAGACAAGCACGTTAGTGACAGTCCCTCTGGAGCTGGCCAGGACGTGCAGGGGGACACTGAGGGTCTGCTTTGGTACCACACTTGTCCCAGCATCTTCCCACACTGGACTGAATCCCATCTCCAGAAACAGCTAAAACTCTGCCCCCGTCTCAGTAAAATTACAAAGACATTTGCATGGCTTTTTTCAGGAAAAATCTCTTTGCTCTCAGTCCCTCAATAGGAAGAACCCACCAGCAAAGCTCCTTATAGCAGAATTTAGGAGCACACCAGGAATTTAGTGAATTCTTGTTCTCTCTGAATGGAAGAGCAGTTTCCTGGGCATGCATCAGGATAAATGCTTTGAAAGTTCTGTTTGAGAATCATAACTTTCATGATGTACAGGTAGATTTCAAGACAAGGCTGTATTAATTTTTTGTATGAGCTCAGACTGAGATTTCCCAGTGGCAATAACAAAGGCAGAAGTGCTGTAGGAGCTGCCTGGATTGGCATTCCCAGGCTGGAGGGTGTGAGAGAAGCTGGGCTTGCTGAGGGGCTGCACTCCAAAATCCAGGACACAGCCCAGCCCCTCTGCTCGGCTGTGCTCAGTCCTGACTTTGCCTCTGCACTGCTGAGGGGGCTCTGGTCTAGCAGGAAGAGGTATTTAAGTAAAGTGAATAAAATCCCAGGAGGTGGCTGTTACTCATCGGCATCTATTCTTCAACTAACTGAGGAGAAATGTTCCTTAAAAAGAAAAAAAACCCAGTAAAACACAAAACCCAACTACCAGTGATCTAATCGCTGTAAAGATAAATTATTCTTTGCCAAACCTGTGCTGTGAGACAATTAATTACCAGGAGATCTGGCAAATCTTAATTCATTGTGCTGTGGCATCGAATTCTGTCCTCTGGCATGCAGCAAGGAGCAGGTCAGTGTGAATGGGAGATGAATTGATCATTTGTGACAAGGTTCATTCTGGTAAAACTGTTGTGGTTTTTTTCCTTCCCCAACGACTTTTTCCCCCCCCTTTTTTGACTGATGTGCTAAGAATAGACCCTCCTGACTTTGAAACGATGCTGTTCTTCAGTGAATGTCACAGCCTTGGATTTGAAAGAGAATGTGACACTTAAAAGGCTTGACAATAGAATGACTTTGTAATTCAGATGATGCTGGAGGAGCCCCTCTCTGCGCTCAGCTTGCAGCACGGAGGAGAAGGAGACAGGAGCTGGTGCTGGGTGGAGGACAACACCTCCCACTTGCCCACCCCGGCAAGAAAAGGCAGAGGCAGCTGCTGACAGCTCCTGAAATGCTGCTCCTTTAGCAGCAGTGGGGAGGGAGAGCAGCTCACGGTTTGGGAGCTGCGGAAGGGGTGAGCACAGTCCCCAGGCACAGCTCATTGTCCCCAGGACAAGGACAGGACAGGCAGGGCTGAGGGGCTGGGGGTGGCACGGGGGGACAGCAGAGCCCCGAGGGGGAAAATTCAGCAGGGAATTTGTTCTGGGTCTCAGCCTGGGGGAAAGCCAAGGTTCAAAGGGCTGCCTCTCCCAGAATGGGGTACCACAACAGCGGGAAAAATGGGAATGCTCAGATGCTGTGGGAAAAAAGAAAAGCCCAGCCCTGCTTGAAGTGCATTTATCATGTAATAGTTAGATTTGCTAAATGAGCCGAGCTGCTGGAAGAGCTGATCATCCCAGGGGACTGGCATGGCCTCAGTGCTGCCTTCCACAGGGGCTGCACTGGAGCTGCCAGCAAATCCAGCCCTGGTAATCACAGGGCTTGGTTTCGAGCTGCAGTAAATGTGCTTTTGACGCCTGCAGCCTCCGAGGGTGTTCAATTCATTCCATTTATTATCTGCTGCCCTTTGGCTCCCTGAGAACAAGCAAAGTACTGCAAACATTGAGGCAGACTTCTCACTCCATCCTGCAGGCTTCCAGGAGAGAGCCAAACACAGATTCAGGCAAGGACTACCAGGACAGAGTAATTCTGTAGAGCTGCTCCCACATAGAACCCCAACAGCGAGCTGAGAGCTGCGTGCCAGGCTGTGGGAGAGCAGAGGGGATGCACGGGGAGAGGCAGCACAGGGGACACCTTGTCTGGGGCAGGAATGGAGGCAGCAAGGGCAGAGCAGTCCCTGCAGCAGGGAGGGCGATGGGCACCAGGAGCCGGGAGAGGGAGGGGATGGAGGAAGGGAGGGTCTGCCGTGGGGATGGAGGGAGGGAGGGAGATCCTTTCATGGGGATGGAGGGAGGGAGGGATGGAGAGATGGAGGGATGGAGGGAGGGTCTGCCATGGGGATGGAGGGAGGCTCTGCCATGGGGATGGAGGGAGGCTCTGCCGTGGGGATGGAGGGATGGAGGTTCTCCCATGGGGATGGAAGGAAATTCTCCCATGGGAATGGAGGGAGGTTCTCCCATGGGGATTTTGGCATGGAGGGAAGTTCTCCCATTGGGGTGGAAAGATGGAGGTTCTGCCATGGGGATGGAAGGAGGTTCTCCCATGGGGATTTAGAGATGGAGGGAAGTTCTGCCATGGGGATGGAAGGAGGTTCTCCCATGGGGATTTAGGGATGGAGGGATGGAGAGAAGCTCTCCCATGGGGATGGAAGGAAGTTCTCCCATGGGGATGAAGGGAAGGAGGTTCTCCCAATGGGATGGAAGGAGGTTCTCCCATGGGGATTTAGGGATGGAGGGAAGTTCTCCCATGGGGATGGAGGTTCTCCCAATGGGATGGAGGGAGGCTCTCCCATCTC